TGCCAAATTTACTTTTACATTATATTCTTTCTCATTAACAATTTAGCATCTCACTTATTCTATTTTTACAAACTTTTCTTGATAGTGTGAGGTTGAAGGGTGATATTACTATTATCCTCTTCACCCACTAGAAACTCGTAGATCGGTTTAAATCCTTACTTTCGTAGGCCAATTCTAATTATTTATTATATAAAATTCTAAACTATTCAACAAATGAAGTATTTAAATAAAGTCAAATATTAAAAGGTAAGTATTTAGATGGGAAATAATGATCAATGTAAGGTAAAAATATTAAAATCTAATAAATAAGCAGAATATATAGATAATTATCAAATTGTATGTTAAATTGATCATGTTTTAATGGTTAAAATCCCTTATTTAACAACTTAAATGGATCAATTACTAAATTCATAGATATTTTTGTAAATCTAAAAAAGTACTTAAACAATAATTCATAACACTTAAAATATAGTTTGTCGGCGAGAGTGTAGGAACAAATAACTAAAAATGGTGCTGCAAAGAAGAATTACTTTTTTTTGTTGGACAAGTTATATTTGTTTACAATGAATTATTTTTGTTAATTTATCATGTTTAGTTCATTATGTTTGTTTCATTCTCAACCATTTCACATTTTTTTATTATCTTGTATTGTTAATTTATCTTTATATTTTTCACTAAATTATGGCAGTCTAATTGATTTTTGTAGCTGCTGACATAGTATGCAAAGTGCGTTGCTATTTCTTACAGTTTACTCTTTTAATGCTTGTTATTGTTCATTATGCATTGAATAGAGAGGAAGATGCAACTAAGAAATGATATTATACCTGATGAAACCAAAGACATAATGCAAAAATATGGTAAGAGTTATATATATATATATATATATATATATATATATATATATATATATATATATATATATATATCTTTACTATCTTATAAAAGAAATCTACTTATTTCTAAAAATAGATTGATTATAATAATATTATTTTTTTAAGACGTCCAAATGATGAAGCTGATAGTACAAGTAACCATTAATAAAATAATATTAAATTTTAACCACATTTTGAATTCAAATATTTATCATCAAATTTCCTTATATTTCTCAACAATTTGATATGGTTCCCTCAAATCTCGGATTCATTCAAATTTTGAACCCTTTTAGATATCCTTAAATTTAGCATGTTGATTCAAATATATCTCCAATCGCATATACGTCTTTGTTCCCTCCTCTGCTATAAAGCCCACCATCCAGGAACAAAAAATGACTTCATCTCCCAAATAACACCATAGTTTGATTATTTTGTCTTCGACATGTACTTTTTTTTGTAAAATAACAATTTTGTAGAGGAAACATATCACCGAAAGAATTTACACGCCCCGCCGCTTTACGCGGGTACACTGCTAGTATATATATATATATATATATATATATATATATATATATATATATATATATATTACTGCCTCATAGAATTTCTTGTGGGTAACAATTTTGAAGGTCACCAAGAGCATTGTTGTTTAAAGGTAAAGTTTTTTCTAAATATTCTTTTGTGATATTGTTTTTCTGATTGGTAAAAATACAAAAGGTATGCAACATATATTCACTATTTATTCAATGCAACCCCATAGCTTTTTTGTAATGATTTAAAAAAACATATTTGGTTTAATCGTTTAGAAAAATACAAAAGATATATATTTATGCTTTTTTGTTTTACTAATGTAGTATGTGTGCGTGGCTAAAGACGATATGGAATTTTTAGGTACAGAATCAGAGCATATATATATATATATATATATATATATATATATATATATATATATATATATATATATATATATATATGTATATATATAGGTTCAGGTTCATTTGAGACTATTCTAATTTTGTGAGACCGTGAGACCAAATCTAAAAATACTTTTAAAATGCAAAATAAATGAAAAAAATCCAAAAATTCTTTTTTTAAATATTATTTTCGGAACTTGAATTAACTAAAAAAACATAAATAAAAAAAAAACAAAATAAAAAAAAAATCCGTTTTTTTTTTAAAAATACGTGAAATATTCTAAATAGAATATTACACCGACATATTCTAAATAATAATTTTAAAATGCAAAATAAATGGAAAAATCTAAAAATTCTTTTTTTAAATATTATTTTCGGAACTTGAATTAACTAAAAAAATAAAATAAATTCTATTTTTTTTGAAAAATACGTGAAATATTCTAAATAGAATATTACACTGTACATATTCTAAAAATAATTTTAAAATGCAAAATAAATGGAAAAATCAAAAAATTCTTTTTTTAAATATTATTTTCGGAACATGAATTAAGTTAAAAAAATAAAAAAAATAAAAAAAAAATAAAAAAATGCATCTCACGGTCTTACAAAATATAGGTGGTCTCAAATGAACCTAACCCTATATATATATATATATATATATATATATATATATATATATATATATATATATATATATATATATATATATATATATATATATATATGGAAATGGATAAAAGATAACACATGGCTAAAAAGGTTTAATGACATGTATGTTTGATTTCCTTGTGAAGTGTTTACTTAATTTTTTTATACAATTGATATAATACATATATAGTTTTGCGAAAATGATCTAACGTTTATTGTTTTATATATCAAATTAATAACAATAACATTCATATATGCAATATGTATTTTATATTCCTTTTGATACTTTTAGTCGAGCTTGTATACATTAGTTCGAATAACATCCATATATGTTTAATGTGATAAACAAAATGCTCACTAAAGTTCTAAAATGTGTCACTAAAAATAACATGAAATCTAGAATCAAATGAGTGTTTAGCGGCACAAAATATATACCTCAAAATACTTTTGTTCTATTGTGGCAAATAAGAAAGTGTCACTAAAATCATATAAGGCTGCAACAACAAAACAATAAAAGTGTTATTAAAGGGTTTTAGTTGGAGAGTTTCTAGTAATACTTTATATATGCGCCTTTGATTCTTTGAGTAGTCTTTAGAGGCATTCTTTTGGTTTTTAGTGGCACTTTTTGTGTGCCACTAAATGACATATAATTTGTAGTTGTGTCATGTAAAAGGTTAATTGATTACATTATACAACTTGCTTTTACAACCCAGTTGGATGTAAAATGTATAATGCAATTATATATCAACAACCGCCTCACATAACTCATGTTAAATCATTAGTGTCTTATATTAAGATATTAAATGGCAAGATTATGAGATGAGCAATGTTTAATTGATGAAATAATATGGGTCAGTTGCTTAATGAAATCATAACCTTATTTAACAAATAATGTTGTTTTGAAATATAATGAGCCATCCAGTTTTTAAGAAAACAATATATATTTTTTAAACAAATTATATGGTTGATATTTTTAATATACAACGAAGTCATAATAAACAAAACACAAAATCTTGTAGACAATAATAAGTATAAAACCTACGTAACAAAATATGATTTACGAAAATGCAAATTCCTTCATGGCAAAAAGATAACAAAATACTATCAATATCAATGTTGTCATAGTTATCATAAATATTATTTCCTAAAGTTCTTATATCAACTCAAAACTAATTCATCTAACTTCTTCATGGTTATGGGAAATGTGTATTTCTACATGTATGAATTTTACATACAAATAAATATAATTTTTGTTATCCACCAAAAGAGATGTTTTTGAGTTAATACAAAATGCAAAACTACTTAACAAATACTTACTTTCCAACCAAGTTCATAGTAAGTGTTCATCATAATGTCAACCAATCATTAAATGCCATAATAATTACACTACCAACATTATTGTTGTTGGTTGCATTAAATTCTAATTACAAATATGTTGATTTAAATGAATAGTAAATTTTAGTTTTGGTCCATTGAGTATGTGTAACACTCCATATTTCATACACTAAAAGTGTAAAATTTCAAAAGAAATATCTTACGGATTAAAGTCATATCATATGAAAATTTGACTCCTTAAAAAGACATTTCCAAAAGTGTTAGATAGCTTGTGAGCTTCAATTTCATGTTAAACAACCATAGAGAAGCTATATAAGAACCAAATAGTTATAATACATAAATAATGACTAATGCTTTTCTCATACTACTCGTAGTTATCTCAAGTGTTCTAATCTTCATCAAAAGTCATACTAAGATGGTAAGTCTTCTATAATCCCCTCCCACCCCTCGGTTTTATTTTTAAATATAGAATACTTGTCACAAAAAAAATTCATAAAACAAATTGTCTCGTGTGTTACATACGTACTAGATATAAAAACTTTCACATTCAAAACATTTTGTTTTCATATTACTTTGCACTTCAAAAATCAGTCTTCAAACTGGATATGTCTCATGGGTAAACAGATCTTTCTTTCTAAAGTATAAAATGCCTCTCATTCATATGCAACTTCATATCAAAGCATTTATGCAATCATTAAATTATCTACATTTTATATATTTCAAATTTCAAAACTTGCTCAATTATCGATATATGATTTCATGTATATGTAATGCCATATAATGCATGATTCTAAACATATTGGATCGACCACATTCGTAGATGTAGAAATGAAAAAAATAGATGTTTCAAATACTTGATAAAAATAAAAAAGATGATAACAAATTTCTTTGATAAGAAAACTCTCCTATAACATATAATTTTTTATTAAAATAACTTAGAAAAACAAATAGGAAACTTAAAAGATTACAAAAAGCACATCACAATATCTTATGTTGCTTGACTTTTGTATTGCATTTTTTCGGCTAATGTTAAATCTTAACAAAAATCATTGGAATGAAAATCATAAAATTTAAATTGAAGTTATTTTTTTTAAAATGCTAATATATAAGGGCCAATAATAAACACAAGTCAATCTGTAAAGGGGTAAAATGTAAATTAATCAGGCATAAAAATCTCTGTCATCAACTCGTCAAGTAGTCAATTTTCATTTGTAGATCTTTCACCGCTTGCATGGAGAACCTCCCTGAATTTCTAGCACTCGAAATAGTGAGTCGTCTTGACGATTCAGAAACAGTAGCTTGCTGCCGTATGGCGAGTAAGACTTTCAATTCTGTATTTCCAGGCCTTCAATTTATAAACCTGCAGTGGCGATTGAAATGGTACCTGGAATCAAGGTCCAGAGTTTCGAGTTCTTCAAGTTCTTCCCGATTTACTCCCTCTCTCAAGAGAGTTTTTATGAATCTTGTATCAAACTTAAGTGCACTGGAATCGGTGCGTATTGGTGTCGAGAATCCACCTCTAGATGTGTTGAACGCTGACGTTGAAGATGATGGCGATGATCTGCACATCACCGATGAGGACTTCGTTAAGGAGTGGCTCCCTAGGGTTTCCGGAGCTTTGAAATTGCTTTCACTATCAAATTTTTGGGTTCAGTCGAGTAGGCGTCGATCAGAAGTCTTGTCACTGATCTCTGCGCACTGTAAGTTGGTTATATGCTGAAATTCTCCATTTTTATATTCTGTAGCTGTATTCTGAAATTATGGAAATTGTTTATTGTCTGAAAATGTAACTGGTCTCCCAGGATCGATATTATTCTGGTTCATATCAAGTAGTTATTTTTATTATTATTTAATTATTTATTTGTTTATTTAAAATTATCATTAATTTGTGGTCAACTATCATTGATTAGGGTTTATTAATGATGATATTTGTTGGTAATAAATGACATTTAATCATATTAAGATTTTGATTCTTTAACTCGGTTGTTTTTGTTGTTGCAAGTCAAAATCTTATTGAATTAGAGCTGAAGAACGCATGGCTATCAGGACAAAACATGAGTGCCATGCCGATGCTAACAAGTTTAACACTTGAACTCATAAGATTAGATGACAAAAATCTAACCGAGTTAAATACATGTTTCCCAAATCTTCAAGTTCTTAACTTGATAGATGTTAGAGGTCTCAAAATGCCGATAATCCACCTCCTCAACCTGAAAACCTGCCATTGGATTGTAACAGATTCACCATCATATATATGCATAATCGCACCCAATCTCCTTACACTCAGACTCGAGTGTAGAAGTCCTGCTGCCCTTTATATTGAAGCTCCTGTGTGTTCCACTTGCATCTTGCACTTGATCACTTGAACGCGTTTGCAGTCAAAAGATTTAAGAACTTGAAAACTATACAATTCGAGTGTTCAAACATTCGCTCCTTAATTCGTAAGTTTCATCGTTTAGAAACAGTAGAAACGCTGACCTTAGATATAAGAGCAGGTGGAAATTCCAAATTTAACCTAGAGGTTTTATGATGTGCTTTCCCGAACATAACTTATTTGTGTTTTAACCCAAGGGTTTGGTCAGAATTTGAGGTGTGGTGTAGCAACATTGGGCTTAAAGGTGTGAAAAGATTTTGTGGGTATTTGTCGGTGGTCGATCCTTTGATGACTTTCGCCTTGGTTGATTGCATGTTAGAAGAATGCTTCAACAGTGTAGAAATCTCTTTACTCATCCACCGTGGTGTTCCTTCTAATGTATCAAAACATTTCATCACTAAGTGCATGGCTCAGTGGCCTGATCTGAAGTGGGGATGGGGGATTTGGGAGGAAGGAAGGGAAGATTCTTGGATCCCTGAAGAGCAATTACCTTAAGAAACGCTCGAGGAGGAATGATCAGATTCCATATGATCAAAAGAAACAAAGAAAATCAAATTAAGACTAGTAGAAGGGTGTTTAGGCCAGGGAAATAATTTTGAAGGAAAGATTGACTACAGAATAAAGATGGGAGCAATGATCAATCGGAAGACATGATCGATGAAGAGTTCAAGTGAAGTAGTTTCAGCAGGACCCATAATTAATTGAGTTTTCTAATAGTTAGAAGTGTTTCTTAGTTAAAGTTTTTATGGTTGTTGTATCTTTTGCAATGCTCTTTCCTTTTATGGTATTACATATTTATATATTTATGGTGTTAGATTTGAGACCAGTTTATTACATGAGTATATTCAAAAAATAAATAAATATAAAATTTTAAATATTTAATATTATTGAATAAAAAACTAAAATGTTTTTTCTTCTAGATTTAAACAAATAATTTAGATAAATAAATAAAGAAAAATAATTAAGCTTTAATTTAGTAATTTTGAAATTAGAAAGAAAATTCATTAATGAAATTGATATGCATTTATTATTACATTTTAATATTATATAAAATTAAATAAAATGATAAACAATAAAATAACATGTGGAATATAAATTAATTTAAAATAACCACAAAATTACGTGTGACAAAATGAATAAGAATGTGACATATGGTAAAAAGGTCTTTATGTATTAGCATATATTACGTATTTATATTTGGATGCCTATGCACGTATACGGGTGTATTAGTTTTTTGTGTTGCATTTAACGTCTGTAAGGCCTTCATATTCATGAGTACTGAAGTTTTGTTGATTACCTTAAACAAAACCCTAAGTGTTCTCTTATGAATGATGCATTATTTAGTTAGATTGGACTGCATTCATGTGATGACCGTGAATGCTCCTATTAGCACGAATAAATACTTTTACATCATTAGATTAATTTGAATAGTGTAAAATCAGTCCCATCATATTTGCCGATTCCTTAATTTCAATTATTTTTATTTTTTTCATTTTATTCTCTTTAAATTAGATGTAAGTTACAAAACAAACCCTTCTACTTTTTATTCTTTTTAAATTCAACAACTTTATATGAAATACATTTATAAAAATAAATACTAAAAATCTTAAAAAATACATGTTGATAATTTTTTATTTTTGTTGTCATTGTGAATAGAAATTCATTTTCAATAAAGTTTATGTTTCACTAAACGTTAATGATATATTCTATTATTTTAATTTATATTTTTAATGACCAGCCAGTTTGTAATTTTACCAACTCACCTATACTATATATGTGTCATTTCGAACTAAAAATTAACATAAGCATATTTCGAACTATTAATTATCACATGGATAGTGTGAATAAAAAAATAATAACATTAGATAGTTCGAACTAAAAATTAACACAGTGATAGATTGAACGAAAAAACTAACACATGGATAATCAGAATAAAAAAAAAAAACACAATGAAAATCCAAACAAAAAAAACACATGGATAGTTGAAAAAAAACATAAAGATGGTCGAACGAAAAAAAACAACAATGATATAGTCCTAACGGAAAAAATAACATGAAGATAATCCGACCAAAAAAACAATACAAGAATAGTCAGAACAAAAAAAAAATAGCACAATGATAATCGTAACGAAAAAATAACACAAAGATGATCTGAATGATAAAACAACATATGAAAAGTTCGAACGGAAAAATAACAAGGATAGTTGAAACCAAAAAAATAACACAAAAATAGTTTGTAAAGAAATAAAATAACACATTAATAGTCTGAACGAAAAAACTAACACGAGATAATCCGACCAAAAAACAACATAAAGATAATCATAACGAAAAAAAATATGAAGATAATTCGAACAAAAGAATAATAAATGAATATACCAAATGAAATATTAATATATATAATGAAAAATAATATATCATCCTATATTTTTCTGTCATTTTCCTATACACTTAACATTGTGATATTTGTCGTATCTAATAAAATTAATAAATTTTTATTACATTTGTTATCATCTAAAGTTGATAGAATGATGGATACGAAAAAACAAATGAGGATATTTAATTTCTCATACATAATAATCCAAACGGAAAAATAGTGATAGTTTCAATGAAAAAAATAATACATAAATAGTTCGAACGATTAAAACGATATTGTAACATCCTGATTTCCCAGGTATATTATTTTATTTAATTATTTTGGAGTTTGAGGAGGAACTCAGCGAGTTAGAGCCAAGACTCGCCGAGTAGGGTCGCGGATGTTCATCCGGGTTCACGTCCGGACTCGGCGAGTGCATTAGTGGACTCGGCGAGTCCACGCTGTTTAATGAAACCCTAATCCCCCGGGTTTGGAGCCTATTTAAGGGCACTTATAGCCTCCCATTGCGGCTACCAGTCCCTTGAGAGAGCCCTAAGTGAGCCAAATCGTTATGAGGGAGAAGAAGTCACTTTTTGATCCTTGAACCCTTGGTTTAGCAAGAAGAAGGTGACAAGAGCAAAGAGGAGATGCGATTCAAGCAGTTCCAGAGTTCAGAGACATCATTTTCAGGTAATGGTTCGAACCTCCTTCAATTTTGGTGTTGATCATTAGATTTAGGGTTTTCTAACCCCTTTAGAGAGTGATTATGTGGAGAAAATGGTCCCTCTTCGAGTTTGTGCCTTGGATTTGGACTCAAAGAGGTCCAGAGACCTTGACCCTTGGAGCTTTATGGACCAGTTTGGGGTTATTGGCCTTAGGTTGCCATTTTTGGGATTAAATCTCCTTTTGATGCCTTGTTGTGGCTATACAAGCATCAAGTTTCGAACTTTACATGACATTCATGCTTGGGGAGGCCATATCTATGGTTTGGATAAACAAATCTGATCTCAGGAGGTCAGTAGAGTTTGTGCATGGCATGAACTCGCCGAGTTGTTCTTTAGACTCGGCGAGTAGGGTTAGGGTTTCACGTAAATTGCTTAGTGAATAGACTTGTCGAGTTGGGGGATGACTCGGTGAGTCAGGAGGGGGTTAGAGGACTAGAGTTCAAGGCGGTATTCGCTGAGTTGATCTTCAGACTCGGCAAGTTGAGTCGGGGTGGCCCTGAGATTCCTGTCTAGTATGACTCATCGAGCATAACGAGGGACTCTACGTATCAAGCGACACAAAGAGTTAGTGGACATGTGTGTACTCGCAGAGTCATCGGAGTGCACTCGGCGAGATGGGTCAAAGTTTGACCGTTGACTTTTGTTGACTTTTAGGGTTTGGTCAGCAATGTGGCCTTTGGGCCAAGAAGGGGGTAAAATGGTCTTTTACCCTTAAGAGGGTGCCAAGAGAGGATAGAGTCTAGTCTCGAGAGTTATGTTCAAGAGAGAATTTGCCTTATGTGATAGATGGTGGCGAGTTCGAGATGCAAGCGTGAGGATATCTGTTTCCTGCTTGCCAGGTGAGTCTTCTCACTATACTTTACCTAGAGTAGGTAGATAGAGTTATGTGATACAGTGTTTTATATATATATTATTGTTGCACTGCATTCTTCTATGTGATTTATGTTGTGCATGCTTGCAGAGTTAGAACCTGAGGGTTCACAGAGTTTGGGTGCACAGACCCACAGAGTTATAGCCTCGAGTGGCTAATATGTGTTATATGTGGTATTTTGGGGAACTCACTAAGCTTCGTGCTTACAGTGTTTTGTGTTATGTGTTTCATATTTCTCTCAGGATCATGGGACGGCACCGGCTTGATTGTACACACCAAAGAAAGAGTCATGTTTTGAGGATCCTGGTTCATTATGCAAATGAAAATGGAGTTATGTTTTGTAATTTGATTATGAATGAGATTTTAAGAAAACTGTTTTTAAGAATTAAACCATTATATTTAAATGAAAAATTGTTTTGAAATTTACGGTGTTACAAGTTTGTATTAGAGCCTTGGTTTAAGGGATTCGGATGCACCTTCGGGTAAATCTGGACTCAAATTGAGGAAGTAAGAAAAGTTTTCAAAGAAATAATTTTCTAAAGCGAATAAGAGTTCAAAAAGAAAGCGAGAAAGAGCAGTGTGTACAATCAGCCAGAGCCCGAACGGTGATTCCCCAAAATACCATTACTTTTGTGTTATGAGATATTTATGATGCACTTTATGAGATATTATTGCATGCTAGAGACAGGCTAGGTATTTCATATCTTAGGACTAGAGTGGCCTGATTTGTGATGCCTTAGCCTAGGAATTGTTGTTATATGCAATGTGCTTTTGAGTATGTGATGAGTGAGAATATTTAGTTGGAATCCTTTAGGGGATTTGAGTAGAGGAGTAATCTAGGGGAGATACCTAGATGAGTACCGTGGTATTTAGCGAAAGAGTAGTTAGAACCCGCGAGGGGAAGAGTTGTAGAGTTCGGTGGTACTTTCAAGGATGAGCAGAGCAAGCGGAGTTATCACCCAGAGTGAGTCCTATGTATTCTTCGATGCCCGAATGTTGCTTGCTTCGTGCTTCGTGGAACTCTCGATGATGGGAGTCAGCTACCAAGCGAATATGATGATATTCAGGAGGTAGATGGATGGCATCATTAGGAGCTCTTCAGCAGCTGATGGCAGAGAAGTGCGGGAATCTGGGAAAAGCCTAGGGAGTAACCTTAGCCAGATGAGTGTGCTGGCAGAGTAGAGAATTTCGCTGGGGAGCGAGCACGCGCGACGGAATTGGTGAACGAGAAGGTCGAGCAGCTACTTAGGAGCTCCGGGATAGTCCGTGTAGAAAGTATGGGTAGATGTGGCAGGTAGTATGGGCCCGTACTACTGAAAGCAAAGGACCCATACTTGATACAGGGAGTATTCCGAAGGTTCTAATGAGCGGAATGAGGAGTGATGTTATGGTTCGAGTACCATACATCGGAGCAGATGGAGGAGTGATGTTATGGTTCGAGTACCATACATCGGAGCAGAATGAGGAGTGATGTCATGGTTCGAGTACCATACATTGGAGCGGATCGAGGAGTGAAGTTATGGTTCGAGTACCATACATCGGAGCGG